CCGCGCCGGAATTCCTCTAGCTCATCGATGACGTAGAGCTCTACGAGGTATCAGAAGAAAACGTGAAGCGCGCTAGTCTGAAGTATCTAGACGGTTAGCTTGGGTCTGTTATGAGCACAGGCCCTGAACAACTAGTCATACTCTGATATTTTTCTGGTGATGGCATTCGTTTTCTGGACTAAACTCGAGGTGCAGATGAGCTTGAGAGTTCTCAGGCATTTCAATGGGAAGCGAATCGTGATGCGCGCTATTTGAAAGTATCTAGACATCCGCGCTTACTCTGCTATTTTCGCTACGGCTGACCACCAATTCGTACTCTGCTGCTTTCTTGGAAATGGTAATGCTTCTCTTGGTTTTACTCGTGCTTCAGATGAGCTGAGAGCTGTCTAGCACAGCAATGGGAAGAGAATCGTCAGGGGCATTAGTGAAATGTATCTAGACGCCTGAGATCAGTCTGCTATCAGCGCTCGGGCTGAAAAACTATTCGTTCTCTGCCAATTCTCTGGACATGATATACGGCAAGGAAGCTCTACGAGCCTCCCGGCGGTAAGAAAGGTTGACGGCTTACCGCCGGCGCCCAGTTCCGGCGCGGGGTGGAGCTAGTTGGTCGTCCCGACCAGAACGGACAATGTGATGACTTAACTCGTAGAGCTTCCCTTAGCTAGTTGCTGGAAGCTTAAGAGTAATTCTGGGTGGAGAGCTAGTTGGCAAGAAGAATCTCGACGGTCCTTTTGGTGACTTTTGCTCGGTTGAAAATTTTGTTCTCGAGATTCCTCAATTCGATTGAGCTATAGTATTTTTTCCCGTAATATTATATCCTATTCCCGCTCGCCGTCTCAATCTCAGATCGATTGGGTAGATATTACTGCCAAAAAGCACTCCGGCGGGATCGGCCGTTTCGGGTCATCTTGACACGCGGTGACGGTTTTCTGAACATAACTCGAGCTATAGAAGAGCTACAAAGCTGATGCTTGCAGAAACCGATTCAGAATCATCAGGCGCGTTTGTCTGTTGAATCCAGAGGTCTGAACTCGGTCTGCTGCTCGAGCAAGGTCCGCGAAACTATTCGTATTGTTCGAGTCATCTTGAGACGTGCTCTCGGTTTTCTGTACTTAACTCGGGCTGTAGGGGGGCTACTGGGCTGGTAATCACAGAAACCGATTTGGAGACATCAGGCGCGTCCGCCTGTCGCATGCAGAGGTCTGAACTCGGTCTGCTACTCGAGCTAGGTCCGCAAAATTATTCGTATCGCTCGAGTCATCTCGACAGGGACTTTCGGTTTTCTGTATTTAATTCGAACTCTAGGGGAGCTACAGAGCTGATACGCACAGGAACCGATGCAGAATAATCAGGCGCGTTCGTCTGCTGCATCCAGAGGTCTGAACTCGGTCTGCTACTCGAGCTAGGTCCGCGAAACTATTCGTATCGTTCGAGTCATCTTGAGAGGTGCTGTCGGTTTTCGCACGTAACTCGGGCTGTTGGAGAGCTACAGAGCTGATGCGCACAGAAACTGATTCGGAATCATCATGCGCGTTCGTCTGTTTCATCCAGAGGTCTGAACTGGGTTTGCTACTCGGGCTAGGTCCGCAAAGCTATTCGTATTCTTTGAGTCATCTTGACAGATGTTGTCCGTTTTCTGTATCGAACTCGGGCTGTAGGAGAGCTACAGAGCTGGTACGCACAGAGACTGATCCAGAAGCATCAGGAGTGTTCGTCTGTTGCATCGAGAGGTCTGAACTCGGTCTGCTACCCGAGCTAGGTTCACAAAATTATTCGTTTTCGACCGATTTTTTTTTTCCAAATTATGGTGAATTTCTTCATTGAACTCGAGCGGCCGAGAAATCAGAAGGAAATCATGAGGCGTGAAGCATCTAGACGCTTGGTTTGGGTCTGCTGTGAACGCAGACGCTAAACACGGGTTCGTACTCTGCTAATTTCTCCCTAAAGGTATTTTCTACACGCTGCAGATGAGCTATAGAACTGTTCAGCACAGCAATGGGATATCACGAGACGCCTGAGATCAATCTGCTATCAGCTCGGGCTGAAAAACTTTTCGTTCTCTGCTAATTCTTTGGACATAATATATGGTCAGGAAGCTCTACGAGTCCCCCAGCGGTAAGAAATGTGGACGGTTTACCGCCGGCGCCCAGTGTTTCTGCGAGTGCCTCTTTGCTCTCCCGTTTTTGGGTGCTACCAATGTCAGCCTGGAGTACCTCGTAGAGCTCTTCGTTATCGATGAGCTAGAGGAATTCCGGCGCGGGCTGGAGCTAGTTGGCCGACCCGACCAGAAAGGGCAATGTGGCAACTTTGGGTGGGTTTTGCTAAAATTTGAAAGATATTTGACAATGAAATTCATTTTGAGAAAGCAGATTTTTACTCCGAGCATTTTAGTGTCTAAACTTCCTTCTGCGAGCATTTCATATTTCGCCTCGAGTGAAGTTCAGAATTCATTGTACTTGATATTGAGGTCTTTGATATTGAGGTCATACGTCGCCTCGAGTGGAGTTCAGAACTCATTGCACTTGATTTCCACATACGTCGAGTTTGAACTTTTGTGATTTGTCATTGCGTTGCCTTTATTCATGCCTGTGTGTGTTGTCGTGCATGCACGTGTGTTGAATAAGAGCTTCGCCTGATCCTCACTTTGTTCGGATAAGAGCCCGCATTCGCTCTAAGTAGTGGTGGGTGTCTTGGCTCACTCTGTATGTTGCGCGTTTAATTCGTTATCTAGTCCACATTTCGACGTTGTGTTTCACGTGCATGGTCTTCCAGTGGTGCTGAGACGGTAATCGCTATATGTGGTTACTGCATGGTCTCGCATTGCTTTGAAGCGCACTCGCTATTTTAGTTCTCTTAGTTTCGTTTTTGTCTCAGTGGTGTGAGACGGTAATCGCTGTATAAACCAGTGGTTACTGTATGGTCTCTCACTGCTGCTAGCTTTGCTTCCATATCTATGGCCTGCGTTGCTTCACTCATTATATGGTTAGTTGTTTTCTCGTGTACTTGCAGTCTTGTGCATTTCTGTACAGCTTCGCTGTTTGATGCATCTCTGCTTTAATCTTTGCAGCTTCGCTGTTTAGGTTCTCTGTGTCCTGGCCTGCTCCCTCGGGAGCTCGAATCGGCCAACGCAGACATCGCAGACCAGGTTGACGGTTCACCGCCGCCGCCAGTCGGTTTTTCGGAAACTGTGAGAGATTTTGAAATTCGTTTTGAGAACTGGTAATTTCCGCACCTGTAGTGGGTTATGCCGCGTCTGCCAGTAAAATTCTCAGGTCTGTAGTTGCAGTATTATTATCAAAACACTTGAACGAACCGACTTTCGGTAAACACTTCAGTATTTTTTAAGTTTTGGAGCTCACGCGTAGAGAAGCTTCTCCCATTGTTCCGAGCAGCGTGGTGCGAGAAAAGAGCTCTACGAGGCTTCCGGCGGTAAGCTGGTTGACGGTTTACCGCCGGCTCCCAGTTCCGGGGCGGAGAGCTAGTTGGCAAGAAAAATCTCGACGGACTTTTTGCTGACTTTTGCTCGGTTGAAAATTTTGTTCTCGGAATTCAACAATTCGTTAGAGCTCTAGTATTTTTCCCGTGATATTCGATCTTATTCCCGCTCGCCGTCTTGATCTTAGCTCGATCGGGTACCTTTTACTGCCAAAAAACACTCCGGCGGGATCGGCTGTTTCGAGTCATCTTGACAGGTGTTGTCGGTTTTTTGTACTTAACTCGAGCTGTAGAGAAGCTACAGAGCTGATACTTACAACAACCGATCCAGAGTCATCAGGCGCGTTCGTCAGTGGCATCTAGAGGTCTGAACTTGGACTGCTACTCGAGCTAGGTCCGCAAAACTATTCGTATTATTCGGGCGCGCCGCCACCTGCCACGCCGGGTCCAGCACCCGTTTGCGATTCTCCCAGTATTGCCAGGCGGCCGCCCGGCGGCGGTGCAGGTCGCACCCCTCGAGGGTAGTGCGCGCGCCCACCGCGTCCGCCCATGCAGCAGGGAGCTGCTTGGCCTCCTCGCGCTCGGGGAGGCGCTGGGCCCACCCCCAGTTATCCAGGGGACATCCGCTTGATTCTTTCCTCGTTTGATAGCAAGTCTTCCACCGCTTGCCGCAAGGCAAGAGTGTCTGAAGCGTGAGCCTCGCCACCGCGGCCCGCGCGCGCGACCGCGCCATGGGCGACAACGGCGAGCCTCGTCAACGAAAGGCCCCTCGACCGCGCCGGGGGGCAGCGATGCCTCGCCGTCCCAGCACTCGTGAATTCCTGCGCTATCTTCCCACTCTCTCTGCCCCCCCCCCCCGCGGTGATCGCGATCGACCCCCTCGCGGGTTCGCGCGGGCCAGCGCGCGCGTCGTGCCTCGCTATTCCCCAGCAAATTTCCCTGCAACGCCGCAACGCGCGCGCGAGCGACAGCTACATGGGCGGCACTTGCAGGCCTCGTCAACGCATGTTTCCCCGACCGCGCCCGGGTGCAGCGATGCCTCGCTATCCCAGCGCTCGTCAATTTTTGTGCTATCTCCCCGCGCTGCCTGCCCCCCCCCCGGCGGCGGTCGCGATCGACCCCCTCGCGGGTTCGCGCGGGGCAATCGCGCGCGTCGTGCCTCGCTTTCCCACGGCAAATTTTTTCACAGCAATCGGCGTGACGGTGCGCCGTCACTTCTTGTGGCCGCTCTTCTTCCATTCGCTCTGCGGCACCCACTTGCTCTCACCGCTCTTGGCGGCCAGCTGCTTGCCGGCGCCGGAGCCCCCTGCAGGCGCGGGAGACCCCCGGCCGCCGCGAGGCCAGCGGGACCTCGCCGCGCCCCGCGCCTTGGGCGGCCTCTTCGGGCTCTGGACCGGCCTGCGCACGGTGGATCGCGGCCACGCAGACGGAAACATCCCGTGGACACTCCCGTTGTCAGGCGCGCGACTCTCCGCCCCCTGGCCCGCCCTGGCACGCGGCGCATCGCCGCGCGGCCTCCGGCGGACTCGGCGGCGCATCCCGCCCTGGCTTCGCCGCTGCCACTCCCTTAGACGACTCCGCCATGGCCTTGGCGGCCTTGAGCAGATCCCAGTCCAGGGTGCACAGCAGCGCATCAACGCCGCCCGCGCCCTGCTCCAGCGCGCGCGCGGCCTGCGAAAGGGGGGTTCACATCGCGCCCGGCGCGCGCCCCCCCTGCATAACACCCCCGCCTTCTGCCGCATGGCGATAGCATAGAAATACGCGGTGTGGGTCCCACCGTGCCCCCCCGCCATCCGGCTCAGCTGCCATTGGTAGGCCAGCGGCACCGCCGGCGTGAAAACCTGGGTGATGATGCAGCGCATTCCCCATTCAAGCAGGTGCGCCTGCCCACGAACGGCACTGCGCCGAAACTTGCCCTCCGCGCGCACCGCGCGGTTGCGCGGGTCCCTTCGCGTCCTGGAGATCGGCGCATGACGCGAAGTCCACGCCAGTCGTCGCCATGGCCGCCCGCTTGGCCGCCGCGACCTCTTTGGCGCGGCTCTGCCGAGCCCCCGGGCAAGACCTCGGAACGCCGCGTGACCGCGCCCCCCCCCCGCGCGCGGAAGATAAACAGGGCATCGCGCAGCGCCGTGTCCAGATCTGGCGCACGGCTCCACGGCGGCTTGCAATTCAATTGCATGTCTTCACCCTCGACGCTCCCCAAATAACGCCGGCCCTTGGCTGCCGCGGCCTGTGCCGCGCACGCCGCGCCGCGCTCGCCTGGCGCGCGCTCTGCTGGTGGCGCCTTCGCGAGCTTTTCGAAACGAAGCATGGCCTCCTCCGTCGGGAGGGCCTCGCCTGGAAAGGCGTCAAGCCCGACCTCCCTGATCCGCTCCTGCGCGCGCCGCAGCCGCGCCCCCCCCACTCTGGCTCGCCACCGCGGGATCAAGGACCTGGAGCGTAAAGGACACATGATCGGTCTTCTTCTCCTTATCTATCTGCTCGCGCGACGCCTGCGCATATTCTGCCATCGCGCCCGTCGCCTTCGTGAGGTCGCCGCTGCTCGCGGGGCCCGGGGCAACGCCCTGCGCAACGCCCCCCCGAAGCCATGGGCCCCACGGCGGATCGCAAGACATGCGCGAGTCCTGTGCGCGGCCCTGAACGCGGAGGGCCAGGGCACGGTGGGCAGGAGTTACCTTGAACTCCGCCCAGCCCTTGCCCTCCCCGGCGTTGAACGGCTGCGAGTTGGCCGCCGGTAATCCCGCGGCCAACGCCTCCTTGATAGAGGCGTCCGCGAAATCTTCGGCGAGCGCCGATCCGACGTATTCCGCCATCATTCTCGCAGTCGCCACGTAATGCATCACGGACCTTTCGCGTGGCTCCGCGTCCATCGCCTGCGCAAAATGGGTCCATTTCACCTGCGACACAGATGGGCGCAAACAGCCCGCTCACCCCCCTCGCACGCCGCGCGCCTGGACCCGGCGACCCGCTCCGGCGAAGGCGGATTCCCCTACGGCTTCAAGCAGAGCAAGGACATCGCGGTCGGAATAACCGTGCGTCATGGTGGCGCGCGTCCGCTCCTGGCCCGAGTCGCGTTTCGCTGCAAGGCCGAGACGCTCCACGCACGCCGCGCAGGCGCCCCCCATCCTTGGGCGCGCCCAACGACCCGTGCGCAGCCCGTGCTCCGTCCACGGCCACCGCTACCTGGCGCGACGCTCCCAGCCCGCGCGCGGGCGCAGCCGCGAATGCAGCCCAGGCCGCGCGCACAGCCAGACCCCAACGCGCCCAGCGACGTACGCAGCGCACGCGCGCACGCCCCGCGCATCCCCTGCCCGCGCACCGAGCAGGTCCTGGCCTGCGCCCTGTGGGCAATCACCGCAGCTGGGCTTGGCCCGCGGCCTCTGGGTCAAACGGGAAGGGGACCGTCGCCGCGAGTTCACCGTCCGGGGGCCCGCGTCGGTAATTCGAACGGGACCGGCGGCGGCCGCGACCGGCCGCTCGCGGGCGCGGGAACTGGCGCACCAGATCGCCGAAGCACGCCTGGCACCGCCCCCCCTCCCGCGCAGGGGCCCCCGCATGCGGGTAGCGCGAGGCCGCGCGCCCGCGGATCCGCGCGCCTGCTGGTGCCGCCACTGCTCTTCCCAATCCTTCTTGACCGCGGCTGGCTCGCCCAGCCAAAAGGCAAAGGGCGCCTGAGAACGGGCCCATGTCGCAGAGACGCGGTAGCGTCGCGGACAACGAACCCTGCACCATGGGGAAGGCGCGCGCCGCTCTTGCTCGCGCGCGGTCACGCAGGCTGCGCAGCGAGCTGCATTCCCCCTGCTCGGATTCACGCGCATGCTGTGTTCGACGGGGGCCCGTGCAATGCATGGCCCCGACGTCACGCAGGCAGCCCCCTCCCCCGGGCCATGCGCCCAGCCACGGCTGCAAACGCCGCCCGAACCCGAGCCCCGTGTATAGTGTGCCCCGTGTATAGTGTGAACCCGTATACAGCCAGATCCACGTATAAGGCCACTGCCAAGGCCACGCACGCGCTCAAGCCACGCGTGCAGCCAAAGCCCTGCACGCAGCCAAAGCCACGCATGCAGTCTAAGCCACGCATGCAGCCAATGCCACGCATGCAGCCACGTGCGCACCCAGCCACGCATGCAGCCTGAGCCACGCACGCGCCCCAAGCCTAGTGCGCCACACACGCCACGCACACTGCCCAGGGGCTCGCACGCACCCAGAGCCTTTTCGACTAGGTGCGCGCGCCCCCCCAGCGCACCAGACAACCGCGCGCGGCCCCGCCCCGCGCGCGCGCGGCTACGCCCCGCGCGCGCCGCGCACGGCCGTGCGGCCGTGCCACCGCGCTTGGAGTTCGCACAACCGATCCCCAGGAGACAGAACTCGGCGCCGGACTTTGACCATGCCATTGCACTGCGTCTCATCCCGCGTCGGCAGCCCCGCGAGTCCCATAATGGCGCGGCGTGCGCCGAGGGGGGGATTCGGAGGAAAGGGAAGCCCGCAGGCGCGTGGGCCCCCGCAGGGGCCCGCCTGCCATGGGGCGCGCAATCTGCGGCCGCGCGCGCGTGGGCCCCTTCGGGGGCCCGCCTGCTCCTGGCCCTCGCAGGCCCGTAGGCCCCCGCAGGGGCCCGCCTGCCCTTCGGCCGTTGCTTGCTATCCCGCCACGGATCCGGGCGGGCGGTGGGCGCGGGCCGCCGCCGAGAGGCACGGCGGCCCACCCGAGACTCGAAACCGACAGACGAGGCAGCAGCACTACAGCCCTGGCGAGCAGCGCGAGGCTCGGGGAAGCGAAAGAGCGACTGAGTCAAGCGCGCCAGGCTCGGAGGAGCGAAAGAGCGATTGAGTGGCAGAGGTACGGAGGTAGTCGAAAGCGGGACGGCACCAGGAATTTATACGCCTGCCAAACCTCCGATCCACAGGGTATATAAATGCAGGACGCAAGCGTATCGCGCTGACATTTGGAAACGCTGCTTTCGTGAAGGCAGCAATCGCGCAGATGAGCTCACGTGGGAGCTGCAAGACAAGCCAGGCATTTCGAGAAAACATGCTGATCGACATAATTGAAACATTGAAGGTGAAGCACTCATCGCGACCCGTGGTTCATTCGACGGCGGCGTTTCCTTTTTCGGTGCTGGTGGAGGGTGGTGGCTGGGCGGGGAGTTCGCGTTGACTCGTGACATCGAGATGGCCAAATGGTGTGAAAGCTCAGTGATGTCGTCGTTTCCTCCGATCGCGGAGGAGGCGTTTGGCTTTGATCCACGGTCGTCTGTGACAGAGTGCGAGCTTGAATCGGCGGCCAGACTCGCCATCATGGTCTGTGAAGTTTTTCGTGTGAATAGAATTTGCTGATATTCTTGAGATTTTTTCCTCATCGAAGAGTGATATAGGTATGCCTACGCCCGTGCGGCTCGGCATGCCGCAATATCGCATGCCTCCGCCATCCTTGTTCGGCATTCGGTGTCAGACCCCTCAGGCCATGGTTGACGTGCCTCTCGTGACGTGGAGTCTCTGTGCGGGGCTTGTCGTCTCAGCTGGTACTTTCTGCGGGCCTCGTGCTTGGTGCCACTGCCATCCTGGCTAGGCATTCTTCGGTGATCTTGTTTTGGCCTCGTTTGGAGTGCCGCACTTGAGTGACTGTGAGGTATCTTCAGCTTTGTATTGTTCTGTAATGTTATCGGCCCTTTTATTGTGCTCTGTAACCCTCATGCGTGCGCCACCTGGGCTCGGCATCTCTCATGCCTGATGCCTCCGCTTTCCTGGCTCGGGATTCTCCGTGTTCATGATCTCGTTTTTGGCCTCGTTTTGAGTGCCACACTTGTTGTTGTGTGATTGTGAGGTTTCTTTATATGTATTCTGCTTAGTAATGTTCTCAGCACTTATCTGTGATCTGTATTCCTGTTGCATACGCCATCTGGGCTTGGCATTTCGCATACCTCATGCCTCTGCCATCCTGGCTCGACGTTCTCGGTGTTCACTTGGGGCCTGGTTTGGAGTGCAACGCCAGACGCGGAGTCGCTCTTTGTGGTTCAAAGTACGTGCTCTGCATTCCTGTGATGCCTGTGCCATCCTTGCTCGGCACTTACTATCACGAGGCTGCGGCCAGGGCAAGTTCTTTTCCTGTCCTGGTCTGTGCGGTTCCTGTTTGTGGGATCTCACTGACGGGGCCGCTGGAGTTGGGTCCGCGGCGGTTTGGCCGTTGCGATTCTCCTTTCTGGCGTGCTTTCTGGTGATGCCTACGCCTACTGGCTTGGTAGGCCCTTGATACGTGTGCCTCCGCCATGCTGGCTTGGCATTGTTGGTATTTTTCTTGGCTTATCGTGAGCCTGCTCGCTGCCCACGCGTGGCCTGACCGCGAGACCGCAAACCCGGAAAACCTGGTTGACGGTTTACCGCCGGCACCCAGTTAGCAATGGGCGAGCTATGCAGGTCAGACGCACGCCGCTCGACATTGCATGATCAAGAGCGCCGGTCTAAAGTGTCGAGACGCTTCAATTCGGTCTGCCACCAGAGCTGCGACTGAAAATACCTCATGGAGCTTTTCGTTCGACCAGAGCTAGAGGAATTCCGGGGCAGGGTGGACCTAGTTTGCTGACCGTGCCAGAATGCACGAGTTTAACATTGAGAGTTTTGACTTCTATTTTTTGGAGTCCAATATTCTTCTACTGAGCATTGGATGGCGCTGCATTCTCTGGTAGAAGTCCCAGGGCTGGAGCTGGAATATTTCGATTGATTAACTTCCGGGAACTGATCTTCAAAAATAATAGAGTTTTGACAAATGAGAGGTTGTCTAGACATTATCAGAGATTCGGCAGTTCATCTCAATTACCAAGATTCTTAGCGCCTATAGTCGGTGATGCCGCGCTCGGCAGTGAAAATTTCAGGTCTGTGGCTGTGGTAT